AAAAATGTAGTGGTTTACTAACATGTTAGACTAACAAACAAACTCAGATCACAACCTTATAAAAATGTAGTGGTTTACTAACATGTTAGACTAACAAACAAACTCAGATCACAACCTTATAAAAATGTAGTGGTTTACCAACATGTTAGACTAACAAACAAATTCAGATCACAACCTTATAAAAATGTAGTGGTTTACCAACATGTTAGACTAACAAACAAATTCAGATCAGAACCTTATAAAAATGTAGTGGTTTATCAACATGTTAGACTAACAAACAAACTTAGATCACAACCTAATAAAAATGTAGTGGTTTACCAACATGTTAGACTAACAAACAAACAAACTTAGATTACAACCTTATAAAAATGTAGTGGTTTACCAACATGTTAGACTAACAAACAAACAAACTTAGATCACAACCTTATTGAAATTTATTGGTTTACTAACATGTTAGACTTGTACGATCTTTACTCTGCAGTTCTGTCCTTCATGTTATCTACTTTTTAGTTTAATTGTCTTTATAGTCACTCTTTCTTATCGAACTTTAAATCGATCCGACCACATACTCTCTCAACCGTTTGGCATGGCCATTGTGTTAACGGTATCAATTCAGCTTTAAAGATTTGCATCACCTCTTGCCACAAAACGGTTGATTTGAGCAAGGTCTTGTTGAGTCAAGTCGTTGTGGTAATCGCTCCCATTGTAAGTTGGAACTCAACTGCGCCTCTTACACGAATAGGGGTTGCTACTATGTGTAGCAAATAAGCTGGCGTCTTGCCAAATCAGTTTCTCGGTCTTATAATCAAAAGCACGGCTTTGTTTCCTGTAGAGATGTTCTTCAGGAATGTAGCGTCTATTGTCGGTCCAGGCGATAAAATCGGTTATAACCGGAAAAAATTTTATCAATTTCTATAGAGAAATACACATATACACCAGTCTATGAAGTGGCTGGCAGGGTTTAAGTCTCCGTGATTTCAAGAAAGACCAACACGAGAAATGACGTTTAATAAGTAAGCATTTTGCAAGCAAAATAGAAAGCGTTCAGTTAGGCCAAACTCAAGAGAAATAATATATAAAGAAAACAACATGCATTTTCATAACTTTTAATTTTTGTTGCATCTGTTATTGGAACAACTGATGTGTATTATATGTTTTCAAAGTTGCAATTAAAATTCCGAATTTATCAACATGTCAGAAAAAATAGCTTTAGTGAGTTTCTCTCCACCGCTAGAGTAAGTGTAAGGTAATAGTATTTATTTGTTTTTTTGAATTTCATGTTATGTGATGTAAAAATTAATGCATACGTGGGCATTTTCTATACAAAAATATAGAAAATTCTTTCAAAAATCATTCAATAAAACAAAAAATATCTTGAAATAAAAGAATAACAAAGAACCTTTACTGATCTATTGTTTATAATTCTGGAACAAAAATTACAATATCGACATCTTTTAAAAAAGTCTGTAAAATCCATCTTTACTGGAGGTTTTTAATCAAAACCCAAACAATTTAGATATTTCTTTTCATATTGGTCCATGTGGCTCAAATGTAAGTGTGTCGGACTGAATCCGAGGGTCCATGGCTGGTTTCCTCTTAGCACAGTAGTGTGCCCTGAACTCTAGGGCAATGGGTGCATTAAAGAAATGACTATTAAATTCCATTATTCAATTAGAATAGACAAAGAGTTGTTGGTGGGTGCTTTTTAGGAGCTGCTTTGCCTCTTTTATGTAAGTTCAGTCTTAATTACTGATCAAGGCAATTTATTTTTGTAAGATCTTCAACAATAAAATTCATTTCTTTTAAGATTTTTGCAAAGGAAAATTTCTTTGATATGCTTTCTATTTCTATGAGTTGTAAGTAAAAGATGATATTTTAAGGCAGGACCTACTATTTGAGAACAGAAAATACTGGTTTGTCTTCATCTTGTGGACTGTCCAGTATTGCTAGAAATCTTTTTTGCTTCTGTTGGTTTATGTTTGCATTCTGTACCAAAAAGAATATAAGATATATTGTTCTTATTCAGTCAGTGGTGGGTACAAGATTTCTGTTTATTGGTACAGGTTGAAGAAATTAGAGGAAATGTAGAGAAGATCCAAGCTAATGTTGAGGAAGTGAAAAAGAAACACAGTGCTATACTGTCAGCACCACAAACAGATGAAAGTGAGTAGATTAGTTGGTAAATAATTTTTTCAGAGACCTTATTTGTAACGTTGGTCTTTGGCTGAATATTTCCGTGAGATAAATTTTAATCGTATCTGTTAGAAATTTATTTTATAAACGTACATCAAACCTACTCTAGATTTTTTTTGTTTTAATTTTAAATGTTGTCTATTAATTACACTCAGATGAGTTAACAGAGATGTATTATTTACCATGTGTAAATGTAAGATGTTTTCCAACATAAAATGATTGGTGTATGTAGACCACATTTTGTAGAAAGTAACTTTACTTCCAGTCAATTTGGTATAGATAACAGTAGATCAAAGATTATGAAGGAAAGATTGTAAGAAGGAGAACTTGACATAGACTTGTTGTGTCCATAGCATGACATTTAACTTTGAAGACCAAGATCACACAGGGTAAAGGTTCTCACTCTTCTCTGACTGTTCATTATTAAACTTTAAAAAGTAATATGTATATTTAGCACCTGGTGTAGAATCTCAAAACTAATAGTAATGTTATGGTAACTGTGTTAACTTGCATAGTTTTGAAGAAGTACTTGCTATATAAGAAAATAATGTTGTGAATTACAACTGAAGAATGTATCACATAGCTATAAACTTTGCTGCCATTTGTAAAACACATTTATAGTTATATATGGAAATATCAATAGATATAACACATATAATTTATAGAACTTGGTATTCAGTGTTTAAAAAATGATTTGTAATATTTCAGATAGGAGATTCTAACTTTCAAATTGTGAACATTTATTATTTTTTTATGTATGCCGGCATTGTAGATTCGTGTTCCTTTCACAAGATATCTTAATCAATATTTATTTTTAAACTATTCTCACCTAATATGCAGGGGAAAGTGCAACTGTGATTAAAAATGATGTCTTAAAAAGATTTTGTTCTTGCATTTTGTGAATAAAGCTAGTGTACATCTAATTACTACAGAATATATTTATAAAGTTGTTTTAATGAGAATAATACTTGATTATAATTCTCTTACTTTTATGATGAATTAATTGACATTTTGTAATGGAGTTTTCTGAACTTAAATTCATTATATATTTTAGTCTTATTTTAAAACAGCAATTTTAAAATTTGATGCAGAATTTCATCACCTTTTAAACCAAATAGTCTTTATATAATTAGCATGGGAACACCTTTGTTTCTTGAAATATTCCAGACAAGAAGTAACAATGTTAAGGTGTTTTAGTTTGACATGCTTACATGTTGCTGTTATGTGATTTGTATTTGTTAATGTGGTAACTTTCAGAGGTCAAGCAAGAATTAGAAGATCTTATGGCTGACATCAAGAAGGCTGCTAACAAAGTACGAACCAAGTTAAAATGTGGAGAATTTAACTGATATTTTCACAGCTATTTCTTTCTAAAAATTAACTTATATTTGAGTAACAATTTTAAACAAGTTAAAAGGTAGAGAATTTAACTGACATTTTCACATCTATTTCTTTCTAAAAATTAACTTATGTTTGAGTAACAATTGTTTTTTTTTACTGTAAGAAAGCTGCTTTAATGATTGATCAAATACTTCTCTTGGTTACTGAAAAAAGTTGTATCACAGGCACTTTTCTGCTGGTTAATACAAAAAAGTTGTTTCCATTAGTCACTGTTAGAAAGTTGCCTTATAGACAATTTTCTACTCTCATGGTTGCTGTAAGAAAGTTGAATTAAATATACACCATTCTTTTTTTTACTGACTGCGGGAAATATTAGAGGTCATGTGAGGTGTATATTATGTTAAAGTCATTTTGTTTACAATATTTCATTCATTATAAACTTGTATATTGTATATCTCTCTAATCTCGACAAGTTATGGAACAAAACATCGAACAACAGGAACATACCAGCATGATGTCAGCAGATTTTAGGATACGCAAAACACAGGTATGTCATGGTGCACCTATCATTTGGATATTTGATTCACCTTCAAAATACAGATTTTAGAACTTGGAAATTACAAGCATGTGTTTTATGTTGTTACTGTAACCGTGATGTTTATTACAGTTTTAGAACTCCAAAAACATAACTATGTTATATACATTGTGTTATTTATGCTGTGTTTTCACTATACAGAATTTATAAATTGCAGATATAGGAATTTGATGATATTCAAATCTCTGGGATATTTAATCCTATGTCATAAGAAATATTACTTTGTTTTTAGGCACTTGTGTAATATACTAAGTCTATTAATCTCTTTGGATTTGGTACTAATAGTTCTACTTAGTTAATATGACTGAATTAAGTTAAAGATGAAATCCTCTGGGATCTAGTGTATGTTTATCATTTCTGAGTCAGGTGATAAACTGTTTCAGGTTGTAAATCAACCAATGCATTGTAGCTGTAATGTTACACTTTAATATAGCCTGTGTTTTGTAAGTCTTTCATTTGGGAGTATGCAGTTATTGTGATGTGTACCTGACGAGGAGTATTAATTATGTGTTGTGTTTTGTTCCATTTAAACATATTTTAGCAGATATGAGAAGTTTATAAAACAAATTGCATTTCTAGCACTCTATGCTATCCCAAAAATTTGTTGAGGTAATGACGGACTACAACAAGACACAGACGGACTATAGAGAGAGGTGCAAGGCACGGATTCAGCGGCAACTTGAAATTAGTGAGTTTTAAAAAATATAGAATTTTAATTGAACATTTAGTTTATTTCTGTGTAATCAAGCACATATCTCCTGTGGATTAAATGTAAATTCATTATTTTTACAACCTGTTTGTTTGTACTGCAAGATTTATTTTTTGACCTATACTGACAATAATACTTAGGCAAATAAAGTTTTTAACTTTCAACAACAAAAAAACAACACATTTTAATGAAAGTTGTAAATTCATATTAATTCGGAAACCTGCATGTATCTTAAAAAATACCAGTTTTCGACTTAATTTTGGGTGTTCCTATCAGATGTCAGTTGTAGTGTGAGTGAAAGCTTGGTCAAGAAAAAGTACAAATATCAACACATTTTAATGAAAGTTGGAAATTCATAATAAATTGGAAACCTGCATGTATCTTAAAAAATACCAGTTTTTGACTTAATTTTGGGTGTTCCTATCAGATGTCAGTTGTAGTGTGAGTGAAACCTTGATGATGATGAAGTACAAATATCAACTTGATGCTATAAAGCCACACTAAAACAAGTTTAGCACAGTTTTAATTTGCTTAATATTTATAATTATTTCATTCTGAAATACATTTTTATTTAATTTTTCATCAGTCTAATTCATTATCCCCAATATCAAGTACTGAACGTTAAATATATTGCTGCAAGCTTTTCTTCTTCTTCTTCTTGATAATTACTTTTCCAATGGTCAGACACCTTTAGATGGTTAAGTGACTCTTTGCAGTTATTAACTTCAAATTTTACTTTTATTTATTACTCTTTAATATTTTTTGAAGTCATGCAACAACAAAAGTAATAATTTTTTTTTCAATTGAAACTTTTTTCCTGTTGTACTGACTTGTATCATCGTTTTACAGCGGGTAAGGTGACAACAAACGAAGAACTAGAAGAAATGTTGGAGAGTGGGAATCCTGCAACTTTCACACAAGGAGTAAGATTAAACATTAAAATTAAGAACAACTAAAAAATGCAGCTTAAATGTCAGTTTTGTTATTGTAAGTAAAAAGAAGTATTCTGAAACATTATCGTTAAGTTACTTGTACAAAGTTATTCTAATCCTGATGGTAGTGGAACATAATTATTTGATGGAAAAAAATGTGTTGCAAATGTGCTATATTCCGACTAATATCAACTTAAACCACTCAAAATGTGAGGTATCTAATGTGATATCCTGGTAATTTGAATAGTAAAAAAGTGTATCTTATTGGCAGTGCCTTGTAGGTTAACCCTTAAGTTTAGCTGTAGCTTGCAATATGAACCACTGCTTCTTTTCTGGGTGGTACTGATTGCAATCTACTGCTTCAGTGCTGTGATTTAAAACTGTTTGATACCACTAGAGCAGGATCTGGTCACTGAGATGAGAGACAGGCACTGATAAGAAATTCTTTAGAAATTAAGATTTCTGTTTCATGGCACATGGATACTTCTGCAGCATGTTAATCCAGCAAGTTATGGAACTCTAGGTCTGGAAAGTCCACGAGACTGAAATACAGTTATTTGAATTGAAAAGCTCCTCTAAATAAAAATAGTTTCTATTATTATTGTCAAGGGTTTGGAAGTTCACGAGATATTGGAATGACACGTATATTCCTGCAGCATAGCCATTCACAAGTTACAAAATTCCAGATCTTTCTTGATGGTGCAGTAAATTGATTATTTTCTGATTCACCTAGAAATCTACTAGTCTATCCACTCCAATTTCTGTTTTATCTTTGACTTGTGACAGTAGAGCAGACTTCTTTTTTATTTCCATTTTGTCCTGGACTTACGATGGTAGAACAGACTTCTTTTGTGTTCTATCCTGGACTTACGATGGTAGAACAGACTTCTTTTGTGTTCTATCCTGGACTTATGATGGTAGAACAGACTTCATTTGTGTTCTATCCTGGACTTACGATGGTAGAACAGACTTTTTTCTATTTGTTGGGTTGTTTCAATTTTGACCAGGTTTTGTAGAGATTCATTCTTACCTATTCACTATATGTCTTAGGAACCTCAGCTGCATCCACATTAGTTAATACTTCTTAGGTTTAAACTAATTTTCATTTTCTCAAAAACCGTCTTTAGTTTCTCTATATATCAATTTCCTGGAATAAGAACACACCTTCAGCATGTTAACTTTCCTCATCTAGCTCAACAACTGGGTGTCTACCATTTTGTTTATGTATTTACCCATTATTACTAAATCAAGAGTATCTGGGCTATGACATTCACCCCCCCCCATAATATTTGTGCAGATCCTTAGGTGCTTTTTTTCTTGACAGTTACTAATGCCAGCAGTCAAAGAGTTTTAAAAGATTAATTGATTCCTTCGTGAAGCATGTGGTCAATTTCAGCATCCATGAAGCTTTAGATTTCTCAGGTCAGCTGTTGAGGCTACTGGGTAATCATGCTTGCAGCAGACATGTATTACAATCATTGGTACTGGGTAATCATGCTTGCAGCAGACATGTATTACAATATTTGGTACTGTGTAATCATGCTTGCAGCAGACATGTATTACAATCATTGGTACTGGGTAATCATGCTTGCAGCAGACATGTATTACAATATTTGGTACTGTGTAATCATGCTTGCAGCAGACATGTATTACAATCATTGGTACTGATGCTGCATTGGTGGTATTTTCTCAAGCTGTTCATCTGACCTAGTGTCAGCTTACTTCAACAGCAGTTGAGTTAATTCTTCTTCCTGGATCGTATCTAAATTTTATTTTACACATTTCAGTAGAGGTTGCAATTGGAATGGTTTTTAATACAGTTAGCAACAGTTCTGATACTTCCAGTCACTGCTACATTTCCATTACTACTGCTTGAACTATAACTTTGATCAACAGTTTGTTTGGTCCATGAAGTCCAACTTCCTTATGTAATAGCACAACATGACCTGATAGAATATTTGTTGGTGCGACTGGTTGATGTAGAGTTTGTTAGTGAGCATACCATTTATGTACGCTTTTAAAATGTTATTAACCATAACTTTGTTTAAATCTTTTGAACTTCTCTGAGGGTTTTTAGTGGTATTTTGTATTTAGATTTTATAATATTTTTTGTGAGTGAAGTATCTAAATAACTACTGTTATGATAAATATGATAAGTGAAAAAATATCCTTTGCTTAACTAAAACAAAACTTTAATAAAAGTTTAAAGAAGTTGCGGTATGACTTTGAAAAGTTTAAATTTGTTTTGGATAAGTACAATTGTTTTGGTATTACTTTGTTGAGAGATGGCTATTTAATTTATGTCATAAAAAATAACCTCCTTTAACATTTTCTGGTTTTTTATTTGGAATTTGTTTTTTGTAGTTGTATGGCTTATCACTCTCTGTCTTCTAGTTCAACTTATGAAAGACCAGAGGCTTTCATTACGTAATAATTGAAGTGTATCAGCAGTGTGTTATTATCCACATGTGTGACAGTAATCAACTGGTTCTTTGTAAAACAGTGTGTCATTATCCACATGTGTGACAGTAATCAACTGGTTCTTCATTCTAACCATACATGTGAATAACAACCCATTGTTTTTACACAGAACCAGTCAATTCTAGGTGTACATGTAAATAAGGACACACTGTTTTACAAAAAACCAGTTGATTACTGATACACATGTGGATAAGGATACACTGTTTTACAAAGAACCAGTCAATTCTAGGTGTACATGTGAATAAGGATACACTGTTTTACAAAGAACCAGTTGATTACTGTCACACATGTGGATAAGGATACACTGTTTTACAAAGAACCAGTCAATTCTAGGTGTACATGTGAATAAGGATACACTGTTTTACGAAGAACCAGTTGATTACTGTCACACATGTGGATAATGACACACTGCTTTACAAAGAACCAGTCAATTCTAGGTGTACATGTGAATAAGGACACATTGTTTTACAAAGAACCAGTTGATTACTGATACACATGTGGATAAGGATACACTGTTTTACAAAGAACCAGTTGATTACTGTCACACATGTGGATAATGACACACTGTTTTATGAAGAACTAGTTGATTACTTTCACATATGTGGATAATGACACACTGTTTTATGAAGAACCAGTTGATTACTGTCACACATGTGGATAATGACACACTGTTTTATGAAGAACCAGTTGATTACTGTCACACATGTAGATAATGACACACTGTTTTACAAAGAACCAGTTGATTACTGTCACACATGTGGATAATGACACACTGTTTTACGAAGAACCAGTTGATTACTGTCACACATGTGGATAATGACACACTGTTTTATCGACTGGTTCAGTGTAAAAACAATAGGTCATTATTCACATTTATGCCTAGAATTGACTAATTCTGTGTCAAACAGTGTGTCGTTATTCACCTGTATGCCCAAGAATTAACTGGTTCTTTGTAAAGCAGTGTGTCATTATTCACATGTATGCCCAAGAATTAACTTGGTCAGTCTTATGAAAAGCAAAATCTTTGATATAAACTTGATTCTCCATAGAGCATAGTTGTTTAAAGATTACCTTTATGTTGATTAGTTTATTTGTTTAAACCTTGATAATTCAAAAGTTATAGAAAACTGACAGTGGTGTATTACTGTTTGAAAAGAGAAATAAAAAATTAACCCCCATTGCTACAAGTAATTTACTAAATAAAGCTTCAAAGAAAAGTTTTTTTTATCACTCTTATGTGACTATAATTCTGCAATTATATATGTAGTAGATTTTGATATGTCTGAAATAAAATCAATTTTTTTGTCATTTTACTAAACCTTTTTTTGTTGTTCATAGATCATCATGGAGACACAGCAAGCCAAACAAACACTAGCAGACATTGAGGCTCGTCACAATGATATCATTAAGTTGGAAACCAGCATCAGAGAACTACATGACATGTTTATGGACATGGCCATGTTAGTTGAGAGTCAGGTAGGCATTAGCACCAGACTCACTGAAAGGTTACTTTTGGGTCAACATGTATGTCACAAAAAAAAGTCTTAACTTTGTTACTGCTTAATTAATGTGGAGCCATAGTTGATAGTTTTAAAATAGATGGACTTTCAAAGGAACTATTGCTGCTTCTGCTGACATTTGAAATTAAGTATACTAAACATTAAATGTTCAAATTAAAGTAACAAAACAAATAGAAAACTCGGGTCGAGGGTGTGCCAGAGTAAGAATAAGTAATAGAAGTTGTGTTAGGAATATTTGAGTTTTACCCAAAAAATCAAATAAGTCACAAATGTATTAAATGAAAGTCACATGAATATCACTAACGTGAAATGTATTTCAACTAAAATTTTTGAAGATTAATAAAGATTAACTAGTAGCTCGTGATGTATAGGTTGTTGTACTTCTTCGTAGAAACAAGTTTACACATCTTAATCATGGCAGTGTTTCACTGATCATGTATAATGAATTAAGGTTAATTTCTATTTCAAACCTCTTATTTTACTATACTTTTTTCTAAACATTGCCAAGGCCTGGTTACAATATAATACACAAGGCAGCAGAAACTCAATAATTTATAATTCAAGTAAAATGTTAACCATTCAGTTACAGATTCAGTTTGTTAATGCAAAGATTTTCCTTAATGCAGAGACGATTTTCAAGTTGTTTATACCTACGGACAGATCATTGCTTTGAATTCCCAACTTCAACACGTATTGTTAAGGATGAAACACAGTATTCAAATTACCCTTGCTTTTTGAGTTATAATGCTCGCAAGCTACAAACAATTGTACATGACTATTAGCACCCTGTGAGCAGAGGCCTTTACATTTTAACAAACGTTTAGGTAATATTCCCAAGGAACGAGGATAGTCTGAGTATAATGTTTCAAGTTTTTATTTCAAAATTATCTTCTGCTATTTGTATGACCAGTCTTGATTATTACCTCTGGATTAAAGAAAGTCTTCTCATTCAAAAATACTGAAACCAGAACTTAACCAGTTAACCAGACTGTTACCTGTTAATTAATATACCTAGCAAGTGGTCAGAAATGGAGACCAGCTGATAGTAAAAGTTGTTGGTATTTTTACTAAATATTAGATCATCGAGAAATTAATGTCGCATTTTGGAACACTTTCATTACCCCCCCCCGAAAACAAAACGTACATAATATATAATAGTTAAAGAACCACCTAAACATCACATTAGTGTAGCCTATATAATGTGTAAAGT